TTTTTGAAATTGTATCATCCAATCTTAACCAACGCTCCACCAAGCAGAGTTGTTCTGCGGATACCTCCGATTCCGTCCCTAGCGTTCTTGCATGGTATTGTGTCTGTACGAGAAATAGAGATGTACCTGACTATTCCCGAGTAGGTAATCGAGCAGTTGACCCCCGACGGGAGCAGCCATAGTAGGTGACCTGTTTGACTCGGGACTTGTCAACAACGTACAATGGAATCTGTAACGTACAGGATTTGTTATATGTCACGGTACTAATAACTAAGGTTCTGTTCACGGTTCATCAGTCGATCCGGAGAGAGCTACCAGGTGCCTGCTCGGTATTTGATTGGTTCCCGCCCAGTCAAAGTGTGGTATGAATTGACTGCCACTAGGCCGAGAAAGGCGAACTTGGCGAACATCGGAATTAATAATTCTCCTTGAAAAAATCAAATTCGGGCTTGGGGGAAAGTTACTCCTGACCAATTTTGGGACTAGGGCTAAAACTTTGGTAGGCTGCATCTGGCATGGACTCGGTCTATATCCGATCGATATGTCTCGTTGATATGCATATCGTAGTTTGTGCTCTGTACCCTTGGAAAACCTCACCTTTGCCACAGATGGACTGTCGTTCTATGGATGATGACCTCATACATTCGGGTCATCAAACGGCTCTACCGGCTTGAAAGATCTTTTTTCACATCCACTCGGCATACCGATCAGTTAAGGATCTTCCACACCTACCACTCAATTGGGTCATAGTTCCCAGACGGATGTCTCACTCTCTTCCTTTCCCTCCGATCCACCCAATAGAATCATCTTTTAGAACACGAAACGGTGGAATGGCTGTGCATCTTCCCCGTGAGGATCGACTATTAATATAGTCTCACGTTTTAAACTTAAGTTTCAGGGGTTCCTGGAAAGCGGAATGAAAAAGAAAACTTAAGCTTCAATTTGACAGCCAACGGTTTCTCCCTTTCCAGAATGTCACTCGTACTTTAATCTACCTTAATATCGATCTCATTTGTTCCCTCCCGGTCATGGAATGGATCCCATCCGATCTATCGGGGGCGTCCTGCATGGACCCATTGGTGGTCTTCCAATCCTTCGACCACTTGGCCACGTGCTTTAGTATCTTTGGTCTCCCCGAACACACTGACACCTCCGGACCTACTCTGACAGCGGAAAAAGAAGGCTATCGTTTGAACGTGAATAGCACTTTTGGAACTCTCGTCGGAGACTGCCTCAGACAGTACTGTGAAGTGCCAGATCCAGAGCTGGAAGGATGTGATTTAAATGGTTACCCTCCCAGCGACTATTACCGCGTGTTCACTCTCCCCAGACCAGAATTTGAGACCACGACCTGTAGGAGTGTCGATAATGATGTGAATCAAGATATTGGCGGTGTGGGGGTACATCTACCTGGAGGGTACTGTCTATTGACTTTTCACAAGACTTGCTAACAGCTATCGTCCCATGCAAATCACAGGTCTTGCTCTCATTCGCAATGCAGTCCGGCATCCTGCTATACGTCCATCTCGCTGTTCTCATACTGAAACTCATCCCCGCAATCACACGATGCATCCGTTGGTGTACGACGAGGGCACGATCCACGGCCAAGATTCAGTTCGGCCAGCACCACTTCTCGATCCTGAAGTCCATGCTGGTGGAGTTCCAAGAGGCTCAATGCTTCTTCATGCTCTCCTTCCAGTGCGCCGCCCTGATTGCTCTTGCGGCTGGCCCACAGGTTTTCGAGGCATCTAGCTTGTTGCAGCTACAGTCAAACATTTCCATGGTCAAAGTTGTTGCATTCATGGGTATCCTTCCTATCACGTACGGCTTATGGATAATCCACAGGATTGGCTTGCATTCATGGTATATCTCTGTGTGGTCTGCCATCACAATTGTGACGTCTAGCGTCACGCTGCATCAATGCAAGATGGAGCCTCGAGCAGACAATCTACAAGAGATCGCGACAGCAGATCGTCTCAACAAATGTGGTTTTTTCCCACCTCCTCTCGTATACTGTAGCTCGGATTCCGAGTTCGGGCCAAACTACAGCATTGTAAACGGTCTGACTTTCGGACTGCCCGACAATTACGCGAACTTCAGTTGCATTGCGATCTACGGATTCCTCCTTTTGAAACGTCTCGCCCCCTATCCCAAGCGATGGCTCGGCCAGAAGCCATGGTTTCAGGCAACTTACCACCTCGTCCAGCCGTGGCTAGTGTCCAGAGGAGTCAGAATTCTCTCTGGAACTTTGAATGTGATCATTGAGATCCTTCTCCTATTCGCCAACCTCCTCTATTCTTTCTTGGTTATAGCACGGAGTCTTCCGACGACCTCACTTGACTCGTGGAGTTTCGGTCAAATCATCGCCGTGACTATCTGGTCTCCCATCGTCAGCAAATATCTCTACTGGCTTTTGCGTACGTATCTTCCTTTTTCTTTCTCTGTACACCCGTATCCTTCTTTTACTTTAGGCTCATAACCGAAACAGTTGGCACGGACTCCTACTCCGCCATCCGATTCCCATCCCCCTACAAAATCATCCGAGTTAAAACAATCAACGAAGAAGACAAGCCCGACGATGAAGATCGTCTTTTCATTCACCTCCCCTCCACAAGCGACCTGAACATCAACCCGAACTCGAAAAAGTTCGTAGTCACCGACGTAGAATTGACTCCGGTTAATGACTCAAAGACGTCGTCGGTCAGTACGCGACATTCTCCATTCCCTGTCTAGATATATTTATTTTTGTATTACTATTATAAAATTCATGCTGGGTTTTTCAGGGGTGTTCTGGAGGATGCATGGCTGGTCAGGTTTTTGGCGTTCAGGTTATGTGAATCATGTCTGTACTGTTTTATACTTGTTAAACTGGGTGATGGAGGTGCGATTACTAGGTTAGACTAGATATACAGAGGATATATATGGATAGATAGGTATGTTAGCTGTATTGTATATTGCAGATTCCACTTGACCCTGATCTGCAATTGCGTGATCTGTCTCAGCCTTATCGATTGATGAGGATAGTCGTGTAGATCCTGTGTAAGCTTATTTGAGTGTTGTGGCGCATGGGCCATTAGATTAATTCAATGTCGGTGCTACTCGACTTTCTAGGCATGTTTTGGCTATGCATCTAGAAATGAAGAGGAATAGTGCCGCCTATGCGATGATCCTACGGGTCGGGATGGGGTCATTCGTAGTTGAAGCTCTAAAACTGAACTTACTACCTCTCAGATTCGGTTTAGACGATGAGATCTTGCTCCAGCTCATCTAGATGGTATAACAAATTGGTCGTCGCTCCAGTATAGCGTGCTTAAATGGATGACAGGAACCCACCATAGATATGTGCATGTGTATTTTGAACCATGTACAATGGTACATCGTCCTGGAAACAGACCGATCCATCAACCTATATTGTCCTTTAGACCAGGCAGTCAAAGTTTGATTAAGAATGATTGCTGATAAGTATATATACATGCTAATATAAACAAGCGTTTGCTAAGCAGTGGCCGGGGCACTATCGCCTGCCTCCGCCGACACCATGCCTTCTGATGATGGTGGATCTCCTGGGAGCCCTTGGGATGATTTTACCTCACCTATTGCAGAGTTCTCGTTTGCACCTTCCAGGGACTCTTCGTGGGACTTTGTTTCGTCAAGAAGGCCGTTTTCGCCGAGCCATACAATAGCTTCCATAACTTTTCGGTCGTCTTCGCCTTTTTGACGGTCGAGAAGCTGATTTCGTATGTTAGTCCAGTTCATGATAGAAACAAGAAAAAAAAAAAAAAGCTTACCGCTTGTAAAAGGCCTTTACGCCCCTTCTTCTCTACAGGTTTCGCCTTGGCCCCACGATCCGGCGCCTCGTGCAGAAACTTGCACTTGTCTCCACGCTGACACCGACCTGTTCGGGCAAAGTGTCGGCATAGCTTTTTCTTTGCTTCACGTGGAGGCGGAGCTACTCGTTCAGGGCCCTCACGGCGAGAGGTTGCCTCCTCAGGGGTGGAATCGCTCTCGCTGTCCTCCGAGTCTGAGGAAGAGAGGTCCGACCCGCTGGATGAAGTCCAGTCGCTGCTGTCGGAAAGATCCGAAGACACAGCAGCATCATCCTTAACATTCTCCATGACATCCTCCCCGTTCGGTTTGGATTCGGAAGTGGATGCTTGCCCAACATCATGGCTGGGCTCTGAACCCTGACCCGGAGTATGTCCTGAAGCGAGTAGATCACCCTGAGTCTCTGACGATCTCGTCTCCTGATCAGGACCTAGCTGGGCTTGAACTTCTTGTGTAGATGCACAAGTAACGTCTTTGTTAGCGTCCATCGATCCTCGTTGTAGTTCTTCGACTCTCATTCGAGCCCGCTCAGCATCGGCTTCCGCCTTTTCGACCTTTTTCTGCTCTTTCATGAGCTTCCGTCGCAGTTTATCAGCCTTCCGCTTCGCTTTCTCAGCTGCGTCTATCGGATCTGTAGGAGTTTGCTGATGGTCTTTCTGCGGTTTCTTCATCTCTTGCTTTCGCGCCTCTTTATGCCGCTGAGCTTCTTCCTTAGCTTTCTTCGCCTCTTCCATCGCCTTCTTCTTCTCCTCGACTTTCTCCTTAGTTGGGAACCGTTTCTTGCGCTCTTCAATCCATGCTGCAATTTCCGCATGAGACTGCAAGGTAGTAGTGCGTCCTTTAAATGTAAACTGCACGGCTGCCGCAGCACCAGCACCACCCTGTGCTAGCCTCGATTCTTCGTCTACATCATCTTCCTCTTCGCTAGACTCATGTTCCTCCGTCTTCGGTGTCAAGCCGAGTTGATTGTGCTTTCGTTTCTTCTTCTTCGGTTTTCTCGTAGCGTCAGCCGGCGGAGGTGGCTTGGACGGTAAAGGATTGCCGAAGCTAGGAACCGGAGGAGGCGCAGGAACCCGCGGGGTAATGTTCTGTGGCTTTCCAAACGCTGAAGCATGATCGCGCTTCATATGTGGCATGGCACCACCCCCTCTAGAAGCTTGGTTGCCGTAAGCATTGTATGGGCGGGGACCTCGCTGATTCCCATGTGGAGGCCCAGTGTACGCTCCTGCAGAGCCGGCATTATTGTATCCCCAATGCATGGGCGGGCCCATCATCGACGGTTGCACAGATTGGGGGGCGTTCTGGTGGCTTGGAGTAACGGAGTGATACGTCGGCGCCTGCTGAGCGGTAGATGGACCATAAGCTGAGTAGCCAGGTTGATGCTGGTACGAAGGTCCATGTGTTGGTGTAGGCTGTGGAAATGGTCGTGAAGGAGGAAATGAATTCGTGCTTTGAGGAACTTGGTAATTGGCGGTCCGCGAAGGCGTGAATTGCGGCGTCGGGATACTTTGTTGAGGGTTGGCCATGGGCTGACCTGCATAGCCAGAATAATTCATCGGGGCGTAGCCCATATTTGACGAATTCGTCGCATGGGGCATGTATGACCCTCCTCGACCTCCTCGATTTCCATACCCCCTACCCCGGCCTCTATTATGGCCGCCACGTCCGCCTCGCTGGCCATGATGGCCTGGGCCATACTGTGAGGGGAAAGTCGCAGGTTGGTTTTGGTTATACTGCGACTGCTGAGTGGGAGGAGGAGGCGGAGGGGGAAAAGAGAAGCCCTGGGAGTTCATCGTGAGAGGACCTCAGTAGACCTCCAAAGAGAATTAGCATCAACGCCATCCTCACAGCATCCTAGACATCTGGAAAAAAGTGCCGAGCTCATCAGATCAAGCAACTGAGGCGCTGTTGTTCCGTTCCGAGCACAAAAAGGGAAAGCGTAGAAGTCACGTGTGTCATGATCTGGTCGGCAAAAAATATCAGAGGTGATCCGCAGTCTGCGATTGGCCGGAATCAATTTATTGGTTTCTCAGAGGGATATTTCTATTATTATAATAAGTTCTCTGCTATCATAAATATGGAGGCATGAGTTATAATGCCTGCGAGTCGGAATATTGATGCTTGATCTGACAATGGAATTTACTCGTCGTGCTCTATCTTTTCGCCGTGGGACCAAATCGTATTGAAATAGAAGACTTTTTTTTTTATCTACCGCCAAATACCTACTAATTGAATTCACCATGTTCATTCTTGTCAGTCGCCTAAGACCTTTCGCTTACTTTGCAATGAAGCCTTTTCAGTTCCAAGGCAAAAGCTGACTAGTCCATACAGACTACCCTCTCCGATCTGATCCAGATCTCCCCAGAAGACTTCTCGAAGTATAGCTCTATCGCTATCGAGGACAATATCAATGAGAAGTACGCAAATAAAGTACGCACGGTTTCCTATCCGAAATGCCATGCTCGCTTGCGCAGCTTGTACTAACAGTAATCGTGTAAAGGTCATTCAAAAAGTTGGCCTGTGCATTGGATTCTACGACTTGTTGGAGTCCTCGGACGGTCTTATCGGTCATGGCACTGGTTTAGTCAATGTGAACGGTACATCCATGCTGAATCCCTGAAAGAGAGTCTATTCACTAATTGAGAGACAGTCAAGTTCCGCCTCATTGTGTTCCGCCCCTTTAAAGGAGAGATTATGTTGGGCAAGATCTCCAGCGCTACTGAACATGGTATTAAAAGTACGGCAAACTCAAATTGACCCCTGTGGTGCTTATACTGACCGATCACAGTTGCTGTAGAGTTTTTCAATGACATTCTCGTACCTCCAAACCTTCTTTTGGACGGCGCCAGATTGTGAGCTGCCTTGATATGCCCAGGGTTCTTAGTCATCTATGTTAACATGCTACAGTGATTATGCTGATCAGGTTTGGATCTGGGAAAACGAAGACGGCTCCACATTTTATTTTGATATCGGAGAAGTTGTCCGATTCCGCGTTGAGATAGAAGAGTGGCATGACCAAATACCCAACGCGCCAGATCTAGGAGATGCTGCCGCTCTCGAACGAAAGCCCCCGTATTCTATTATTGTATGAACTCTCTCCCCGGTGTCTCCTGACTTGCTTACTAACGATACCCCAGGGATCGATGCAAATGGCTGGTCTGGGACCTGTCTCTTGGTGGTAATGCTCCGAATGGGTCATGTGCATGCTTGACGTGAATCAGCAAGAATCACTTTTTTTGGTTCCCCTTACTTCCCGTGCTTATGTGATGAGATACCTTTTCTGATGGAATGGTTGGACTATGTATATTTCCATGGTTACACGAATAACGAAACTATCTTAACATCGAGATTTCAGTGATTGCTCACAAATCAACCAAATGACGACATTTGGCCGGAAATGGGAGATACATCGAGAGAATTCTGGAGCATTGGAGAAGGAGAGATCTGACCAAGACAGGATGATTTCCCCGCCAAATAGATCGCCATACTCAAATAGACCTTGTAGCTAATTGTATGCAGAGGACATAAAGTAAGGCTACTACTAGACTATCATTATCAATCGAATTCGGGTAGTGGCGGAGATAAAGAAAATTGCATTGACACCGCCACGGGAGGGGACAATCAACGGTTCACGGTGGAGTTGCACTCGGCGCTATGCCGGAAATCTTCACGGGGCCCGATCAGTCCCTGCCCTATCGTGCTTCAGCATGATTGATGTGCAACGTAAAAAAAACCTCTGTCCAAGCAACAGAATTTTTTTTCCCTCGGGTTTCAGGAGGAAAGGGGGGTAAAATTAGTTCTAGAGTCATCGTTAATAAATCCTAATTAATTTTAAAACCGGCTTCACCGATCTTACTCAGTTTGCCCTCGTATCAATTATAAATCAGTACCTGGTCACGACAACGGTACAAAAACCAGACTACTATTTATTAGATCTTCCTTCTCGCAGATTGTGACCTCATAGGCGCTTCTATCGGGCTTCCAGAAAGAAAAAAAAAACGTCGTCTTCCTGTACGAGTCTACTGTGTCGGATTCTTTTGGATCTTTTTCGTTCTTTTGCGATTTTATATAGAGATACACCACGCGATCACGTTCGCAGTCCCGTGACAATGACCAACTCGACCAACGGAGCCCCTGCTCAAGAGAAGCGCTTCGGCACTTTGGCCGTCCATTCCGGCGCTCACCATGACCCTACGACTGGCGCTGTTATTGCTCCTGTAGGTTCTCGCACGTTGCATGAATTGTTTCAGAGATGCTGACGGGTTGTGTAGATCTCCCTTTCCACCACTTTCGCTCAGACCAGTGTCGGCAGCCCTGTAGGTATCTACGAGTACACACGTAGCTCCAACCCCAACCGGTGAGTACCCAACTCGGAACGGATCTTGGTCTATGATTGATCTTCATGCTAATTACCGCTCAGCGATAACTTCGAAGAAGCCATTGCAGCTCTTGAGCACGCTAAATATGCCCTCGCATTCTCCTCTGGTTCCGCAACCACTGCGGTGATCCTTCAATCCCTCGCGGCCGGCTCGCACGTCGTCTCAGTTTCCGATGTCTATGGTGGAACTCACAGGTACTTCACAAAGGTTGCCAACGCCCATGGTGTGGATGTTTCATTCACCCCCACCATCGAGTCGGACGTGGAGAAGTTGATCCGTCCAGAGACCAAGCTCGTGTGGATCGAAACTCCCTCAAACCCAACTTTGGGATTGGTCGATATTGAGAAGGTTGCTGCCATTGCTCATCGCCATGGAATCGTCGTGGTGGTTGACAACACATTCATGAGTCCCTACGTCCAGAACCCTCTGGATCACGGTGCCGACATTGTCGTGCACTCCGTTACCAAGTATATCAACGGCCATTCGGTATGTTTCTCGCCCTTCTGCTTTTAGCGCAGAGTTATTTTTTTTTTTTTTGTTTTTTGTGAGTGGCCTGTTAGCTAACCACGAGATAGGATGTTTTGATGGGCGTCGCTGCGTTCAACTCCGATAGCTTAAAAGAGCGCCTTGGATTCCTCCAGAACGCCATTGGTGCTGTTCCTTCTCCCTTCGACTGCTGGCTCGCTCACCGTGGTCTTAAGACTCTCCACTTGCGTGCCCGCGAGGCCACCACTAACGCCACGGCTATCGCCAAGGCCCTCGAGGCTTCCCCCCATGTTATCTCCGTCAACTACCCCGGCATCGATTCTCATCCTCAGCGTGCGATTGCTGTCAAGCAGCACCGCCAGGGTATGGGTGGCGGTATGCTCAGCTTCCGCATCCAGGGTGGCGAGAAGGCTGCTCACCTTTTCTGCAAGTACACCAAGGTCTTCACCTTGGCCGAGAGTTTGGGTGGTGTGGAGAGTCTTTGCGAGGTTCCCGCTAGCATGACTCACGCCGGTATCCCCAAGGACCAGCGTGAGGCTGCTGGTGTCTTCGACGACCTGGTACGCATGAGCTGTGGTGTTGAGGATGCAGAGGATCTCCTGGCCGACGTTCTCCAGGCTCTTAAGAAAGCTGCCGCCTCCGGTGAACAGAACGGCACCGCTTAATTCAGTTAATTTAATAGAGAAATTAGAACCTTTCATAGAACAAGTTAACGACGACACGGATTACTCTTCACACAAACTTGCTTTCTGTCATGACAATTCAGCTCTCTTTCCTGGTCCTTCTCAGACAAGCCATATCTCATAAACTATATAAATGCCCCAATCAGTCCAGATAATATGAAAGATATATTGAACGTGCAAAGGAGTGGTTAGATACTAGTAAATGACTTGTGCCACAGCATCACCTAGACAGGCTTAGTCATCTATGGCAAAACCGCAAAAAATTTAGAGCACAATTGAAGGCTGAAGCAAGCCCCAAGACTATAGCTACTGAACATTTAAAAATTGGAGTCAGAGCCCCTGGAATATCTGTGCAAATCCTACGGTGTCTCCCGCAAAACCTTGTCTCCTCCAGATCTTGCTTGCGCCCTAAACCCTTATCAAACTACAACTATTCCGACACTATCTATGCGTGCCCCGCGCTTGTATTTTATATCGGCATAACTTCCAATAGCTTTTGGCTACATCTTAGTGGGGTCTGGTCGTGACAATCTTCACTGTCTGTGATAATGGCGTCCGCATTTAGCTTCGGCTTCGCTGGGGACGACATTGACATCGACGACTCGGAATTGAACACTGTTGATGAGGGGCATACATTCGTTGCGCAAAATAGTAGCAGCACACTCCCTGAACTGGTTCCGGCCCAGAGGCATGAATTGAGTGATTTGGTAGGTTCATCTTCATGTTGTTGTACCTTAACTGGCATTGATGTTTGGCCCTCGCCAATGGTACCTTATCCGGATGCGAAGGAACTTTCCAGCTCTAGTCCTTCTATTCAGATAAGAATACAATTCATGGGTTGAGCAATAAGACTGACCATGCTGTAGCTCTCAAGTCTCCCGTCTCAGGTTTCATTCAACAAACTCAACATTAGTACACCTCAGGATGATCAAACATCCGCAAGGACACCCACACTCGCTCGTCGCGAAGTGTTTGACATCCGTACCCAATTGATGGCAGAGGATACTGCCGATTATGCGAACGAAGAGCTGATCTCCGGACTTGAGAAAGGAGATATCACGCCCAACATCTATGAAGGCGGTTTCAAGACGTGGGAATGCTCAGTAGATCTCGCGAAGTTGGTTGCCAATGAAAACATACTATCTAACGCTGATGCGGGGGATCGACATATCATCGAGGTTAGTGTTACATCTGGCGTCTAATCTTAACCCCGTCTGTTGAACCAATTCCTGATAAAGAATCTCTAGCTTGGAGCTGGAACGGCGGTGCCGTCGCTTGCTCTGTTCGCGCAGTTACTGACCAACCCTGGGGGGTCGTCACGAGCTACTCGGTTCACGTTTGCGGACTACAACTCTGTTGTTCTTCGGTTGGTGACTTTGCCTAACCTGCTTCTGACTTGGAATTATATCGTCATGCGTCAGAAGTCGGATTCAGTTGCTGGGACGGAAGATCAGGTTGAGGAGGAGCTGGAGTTGGACATCACTCCGGAACTTCTAGAGGCTTTCCAGAAGGATCTTGCGGAACGGGGCATCTCTGTCGAATTTATCTCCGGTGCCTGGTCGCCCGCTTTCGTTGATTTGGCGTTCTCGTCGACTGAGAAGGCCAATGGCGGAACTTTAATTCTTGCTAGTGAAACGATATATTCCCCGGCGTCTTTGAGTGCGTTTTCGGAGACGTTGCTGGCTTTGCTCCATCGTCCTGTCCACGCAGGCGGGAGAAGTAGGGCTTTGTTGGCTGCGAAGAAAGTCTATTTCGGAGTCGGCGGTGGTGTGGACGAATTTTTGGAAGTATTTAATGCTGTCGGCGGGGATGGACTGGATGTGAGGGAGCGGCTGGATGTTAAGTCAGAAGGAGTGGGTAGAATAGTCCTGGAGATTGCGCCCAAAGGTCTCCAATAATGGTAGATAAACAGATATCGTGATGGAAGATCAACCTTGTCCGGGAACTATGTTATGGATTATGGGGTTTTCTTCCCGCGATAGGGTCAGGAATTCAATGAAACTGTCAACGAAACCTTGCACTGCCCTGTTATATGTACATTGTTTGACCCTGTCATGCCTACTACCGGCGTCTTGGAACATGAAAACGAAATCAATTTGTCTAATCATAGATAGAGACAACCTTGCCATCTTGCATCCGGGCAACACGGGCCTCTTCCTGCTCCCTGTTTTGGCGCTCATAGTGTGCGGTAACATGGCTCATATCCATAGCCGAGCCGGCAGGGACGTTGAAAGGAGGGGCGGCGTTGAAGCTGACCCTAGAGGGGGGAGGAAACAAGTCATATTAGCTTGTGGTCTGCAAGAGCAGGTGCGGTTATATGAGACATACTCGGGCTGCTTCAATTCGATAACGGCTCTAGGGCCCTGACTTTGGAACAAGTGGCGGTCATGGGCAGCCTTCTCCATTACGACAGTGCGAATGGCATTTCTCTCTTCGAAAATCTTCTCCGAAGGGGTCCACTTTTGGATGAGGCTGGAAATCCACGATTGCGATCCAGACTCCTCGGTGGACTTGCTCAGTCGGTAAAGGACGTAGGCAGAGGTGAAGGAGCCGACGGTGACGTAGAAGCTACGCTGTACAGGTCACAAAGATCCATGTTAGTCACAGCACCCAATTGGCGGGCAGCAGCCTACTGCTACCAGCGAAGATATCCAGTTGTAGAGGGGTCCAAGAGACGTACGCCGAAGCTCTCATTCACAGGCTCAGCATGGTGGTGAGCCGCGTGCGAGTCGAATCGCCGCTGGGGCTGATTGCGCAGCAGTAGCCGCGCGGAAGCAGCCGATCGCCTAGCGAAAAACATAGTGTGGAGGAAGACAATTGGCAGGGCCAAACGAATATGATGCCGTCCATTTGGAGGAAGAACGCAAGCTGGTGAGCGGTTCGAGGCGGATATCACGTGACAATTACTTGATGTGGCTTAGTGTCCTCACGGGACTTGGCGCCGGAACGCCGGTCACCTGCCAATGAGAAGCATGATTATTTTCCTTTCTCGAATCTACATCCTCTTGGTCGGTGACAACAAATATGCCGCTCAAACAGCCCAAAACGCTGCGGACTCCGAATAGAATGTAAGTCTCGCCTCGCTCGGATACTTTACAGGGAATCCCGGAGCATGGAACGAAATCTATTCGAAACCAGCGTTGGGGAGAAATGGCCTTAGTGGCATGGGTCTACACCACCATGTTGCCTCCTGCAACAAGTCGGCGGGTCGCTGCGTTGTCTTGACAGTAATGGTGGTTTTTCTTTACACCGCACTTGAAGGTGGTCCTGATGCACGACTAACTGCCTCATTCCGAGATGGCGCTCCCCACTGTTCCCCAGTCGCATGGTGTCAATTGGGCTGTGGTCCCTCCCAACTTATGCAGGCGTCTGAACGTTTGGCTATCAGAGGCGACATGTCATCGATCTGATTTTAGCGCTTTCGACCCACTCGTTACCTGCCTCCTCGACCGACTTTGACTGATTCCTCCGTCCTGTCATAGATGATAGTATTATGACTGTATGCAACATTTTTTTTTCCTTGTCGTTTTTTTTCTCCCTCATCTGCACGCTATGATTCATCCTGCCACCCTGGAAAAAACAGTGCTATTGATGCCCAATGCTCACTCATTGGGTGATACTCTCTCCCCATCTTGAAATGATCGGTCCACCTCTGTGTCCTCGTTTCGCGCGAGAAATGTATACTCTTTCCTTTCCTGCCTTTGTGATCCATGTTGAATGGGTATCAATTACTGTTCTAAGGTTCGGTCCGTTTGTTCGCCTTACCAGCCTCCTTGAGGCTGGATGCAATGCCTCCATTCTGCAGCGAGTTTCTTTTTTTGGGCGTGTTTTAGGATAGATTCTTAGCTGCGTATTTTTCACTGCCTCGCCTAATGTCTTAATTAGTTCCGATTCCTCAGAAATCCAAATTATTTATTTGACGAGTTGAGATCTGTCCTGTCCTGTCTTTCCAGAATTGTCTGCTTGCGTTCAGCGCAGGTATTTACCATCGGGCGTCTTGACTTCGTGGATTGCAACCATTTGCGCCCACTTCCAGGCTTCCCTGCTCTAGGGCGAATTTTCTTTCTCGCATTACTTTTTTCGTCCTGACTTTCTTCCCTGTATCTGTCGTGTGATCGTTTGACCCTTCGCCCCCCGTGCGAGTTGTCATCTTTTCTCCATATCAGATCGGAATATATCTTTGGCGCCGCTGAGCGCGTTTTCATGTATTGCTTCACACCCCAACCACCACCCAATTGCGTTTTTGCTAACAGGTTTTTTTAGCCTACTGGTAACACGTCTTTTTCCTTTTCTTGAACTTGGGCACGCATTATTTTTTCCATCATGGCCCCATCCAAGAAAGGAAAGGGCAAGTCCGGTAGCAAAAAAAATAATAAGAAGTCAAAGACCCAAGAGGAGCCAGAGAATCAAACACCGGCTGCACCTGATGTTACTATTCCTGAACCACAATCAGAGGAACAACAGCCTGCTGAACAACAATCTCAGGAGCCACAACTAGCTGAATCACAGCTGCAAGAACAACAACAACAACCCGAACAGCCATCTGGTCAAGCAGCGGAGCAAACAACTGACCAACAACCTGACCAACTCATAGAGCAGGCCTCAGAGCAACAGCCTGAGCAACCAATAGATCAATCATTAGATCAATCCCAAGACCAGCCTCCAGCAGAACAAGCAGATCAACAGCCCCCAGACCAGCAAGCGGAGCCACTGCAAGATCCATCATCGGAGCCACTGCAAGAACAACCACTTGATCAAGAACTGCAAGACCAACCGCCTCTTGACCAACAGTTGCAAGATCAACAGCTGTCAGAGGAACCACTCTTTGACCAACAGTCACAAGATCCACTACCACTTGATCAAGATCTGCAAGACCAACCGCTCCTTGACCAACAGCTGCAAGATCAACAATCTGATCTACAGCTGCAAGAGGAACAGCCAGAGAAGCAGCTGCAAGAACAGCAACAAGAACAAGAACAACAGCTGCAACTACAGCCAGAAGGAGCAATCGAAGCCGAGCCCCAACAATTGGAGGCTCCAGTGGAAAACTCAGTGGAAGCCCCAGTGGAACCCGAGTCACCGTCAGCACCCGAAGTTGCACCTGAAGTCGCAGCGGAAGTCGTAGCAGAAGTTGCCTCGGAGCCAGTCCCAGAGCCAGAGCCGGTGCCAGCGCAAGAGGTGGAGCAAGAACCACAGGCCATTGTGGAAGAAATTTCCACGGCCCCTGAACCCGAACAGCAACCCCAACCGCCGACCAATTCTGAAGAGGATGGTTCTGCCCAAGTGACTACCCCCGACCTCTCCTCAAGTCAGCAGCTAGACGCGAGTGATGTCCAGCGGGACCCCGAAGTACCTCAAGAATTGCACCAAGAGGAACTAGGCATACCAGAGCATCCAGTTGGGGAAGCCGCTGAAACTACTCCGGAGAATATCGACGTATCAAAGGAGCAAGTTGTCGAACCACCTGAGCCGACCCCAGTGACAGCACCACAAACCCCATTGTTCTCAACGGACCCAACCACGACTTCCGTAGAGACCCCATCTGCAACGGAGACTCAATTCGCTCAGTTTGCATCTCCCACAAAGACCGACGCACCAGAGATTGAGTCACACGCAACCCCTGTATCTGACCCCTCCTTTGAGGCAGTTGAGGCAGCGCCTACTTCCCCCGCCCGCCAAACTACCCCGCCTGTGTCCAAGCTGGCTTCTCCTGTGCCAAAGCACGCTTCTCCCATACCTAGGGCTGTTTCGCCTGTGCCTAGGGACGCTGCACCTACACCCGAAGCCGCTTCGCCGGCTCCTAAGCCCGCTTCACCTGTACCTCAGGCAGCCCCACTTATGGATGAAACCGTTTCGTCGATGCAGGAAGCCGAGCTTCCTGCGGAAGTCATCCCACCTGCACCAACACCTCCGCCGGTCGCTTCTGTATATCAAGAACCTCTGTCCATGCTACAGAATCCTTCACCAGTCCAGAAGATGGCCTCTCCTGTATCAAAGGCAGCATCGCCATTAACCAAGGTCGCCTCTCCCGTCCAGAAATCTGCATCACCAAAAGTTACCAGCCCCCTCGCCCGCCACGCTTATATGTCGCCGATGATATCCCCGCACGCGACGCCACACGCGACGCCGCCGGTACAGCCGGCAATGCACCCTATGCCCCCTATGCCTCCTCCGAGCACTGCTCCTAGCGTAGCTAGCTATGCTACAGCGTATTCCCCCGTCATGACCACTGCTGGGTTTATGCCCCAGTATGCCTTCTACCCCCCTGGCATGCAACCCACCCCCCGGAGCTCCATGGAGCCCAACACCGCGACAGCTTTCCAGCATTTGCGCGATCTGACTTATGCCAATGGGAATGGATTCTTCGCCCCTCAGAACGGACACCCCAATGGCCACAACGGCCATCACAAGGGCATGATGTCGCCTCCGGAGCATCCTGTCGAAGAACCAATTGAACTTCTGCAGAGAATTCAAGATGCCATCCCAGACATCAACCGCTTGTTGAGCAGTTACAGAAATACGAAGAGCAAGCTGCAAGCCCGCGAAGCTGAGTTTCAACAGATGAAGACCCAGCATGAGCAGGATTTGATGCACAAGGACTTTTACATTGAAGCTCTCCAGACGCAAATGAGGAAAACTGCCAATGAGGCTGCGGAAGAGTCCACCAAGTTGAAGAACACAATCAACGAACTCCGCATGGAGCTGGGCAATCTTGACGAGAAGCGGAAAGACCTCGAGGAGAAGTTGGAGGACTCCGAGAAGTCGAACGAGGAGCTGACACAGAACAAGCATGACCTTGAAGAGGAGGTCAGGACGCTTAACACCGACATGAAAGAAGCCCAAGAGGCTCATGAGAAGGAATGTGAGAGGCGCGAACAAGAGAAGGTGGACGCTCTTGCGACTCAAAAACGGGAAATGACCGAGTCTTTCGAAGAGATAAAGGCCGAGGATGAAAAAGCAGCAGCGGAAGCTTTGGCTGCTCGCGAGAAAGAGTTGCTTGACCAGCAAGAAGCAATGAAAAACGACTACGAAGATCAGAAACGACAGATGCAAGAAGCACATGATACATTGCAGTCAAACTTCGATGACAAGGTGAACGAATTAGAGTCCACCAAGACCGATCTCGAGAACAAGCACAAGGAACTCGAGGAGACTCGTGTGCAACATGCCCGTGAAGTTGAACTCCTCAACAACACCCATGCTGACCATGTTGCTGACATGGAGAGGCACTGGGCCGATGAGAGGGGCGAGTTGGAGCAGCGCATCACGGACAAGTGCGATGAACTCGCCCACTGTGAGCGCGAAAAACAGAAGGTTGAAGAGGATAATGTTGTCAAGGAGCAACAACTACAGGCAGCATCTGACGGCATGCGCCTCACCATTGATAATTTGGGCAAAGACTGCGATAGGTTGAGAAAGACCCTTCACAGCCTTGGAGAAGCCACTGACCTCAAGAGCACGAAGGGTGATCCATTCTTGTAAGTGTGACCTAGTGCATTGAGAATGTGTTTTAGTACTTGACTGTTTCAAAAATTTCCTTTTGTCTTCTTAATCTTCCAGACTGTCTTCTGTGTTGCCTTTACTACCGTTCTGGCCAGAACTGTGCCACGTTCATTTGTTTTCTTTTGTCCTTTTCGATTTTCCCTATAGAATTATGATCACGATGGTGACGAAGATTATGAGATGTCAATAATGCTATCAATTGTACCTGCTCTGATAAGAATTCTATAATCTAGTTTGGACTGCTTCGCCCAGCTTTCTCGTCTTATTGTTTCCTTGTCTAAGGAGCACTTTGCGTAC